TCTGTCCATGTAACAAAGCTGAAATGAAGTTACTACTGGTACCTGAATGAGCAATAGCTTCGGTAGAACTTACTCTCCAAGATAGTCGAATTTTGGCCAATCGTTGAAACGATTCACTGAGTAATCGTCCATAACTACCTATAAATAAGATACCAACCTTTATAGCATCCCACCAGCAATATCTCCTTTTCGAGGTGCATGATTGTAACCACATACACTGCAAATCCCGGGGATGGAGTGGGCGTGACTGCGAAATTGACGTGAACATTGCGTAAAATGCGTTGTTTGCCTTATATTTCCATTTATACAATACCCTTTCTTGTACTGGACAGCGTCATGGTTGCAGCTATTCCAAAACTGCAATATTCTTCCAGAAACGCAGCTGCCGCCATGTTTCAAATGAAGTACGCAGCCACGTACTTTCCGTCTCTGGGATATGGAGCGTACATCCTGGAAAGAGGGTACTTTCAGAGGGGCCCAGCCCATCACACTTCTATCGTGCTTGAAGTGCGGCACTCATGGTAGACTACCCACTGAATTATTTAAACTCAGGCTATCTATATGAAAAGCCGGTAGCGAAAATAGGATAGAACTTTATCTCATCTCCCGAATTCTGAAGAAAGTAAGTTTCTAAAGCCTGTGATTTTGTGGGTGCAATCCAAACGGAGCTCTGTGCACGATTTAGTCTTAATCGCCGCGAATGCTGGGACGTGTGTGGGAGACAAGCGTTTGTCGCAACGCCAGCTCGTTTTCCACCAATTGTGGCCGCTTGTCGTCTTCTACAATTGGTGGGAAAACAGCTGTCGCCGCACCAAACTCACCCTTAAAGGCAGTTGGCACGATAAATCCTCCAAGACGAGCAGGACTAATACGCCTGGCAGGACGGAATTCCGCGACCCTGAGCAGGCGCTGCATAATGCCTTTTCCAGGGAAGGTGCCCTTATAAGGGCGCTATCAAGCCACAACTTTACGTCCCAAACGCCCCCTTGCCCGCCCGCCCACAAATGGACGACTGTTCCAGACGCTCTAATTGATTCATTTGCTAAGCAAATTACATGAAGCGAAGGCA